CCATCTCTCTGGATACACGCACAACTCTGGCTTCTCTGAGTGTTCTGTCCCTCCTCAGATAGAGTTCGGATAAGCAGAACCCCATTTCGAGTGTTGGTTAGTGTCTCCCCCTTTCTCATCCTCCCAGAGGACCTCCGTCCTCCAGGCTAATTTTAGAGAGCATCAGAGGAGACCAGGACCCTGCATTTCTTTATTCAATCTGTCTGTCAGCCATCAGCAGTTAGTGTCGCCCATGCTCAAGACTCTGGGACTTCTATCCGACTGAGCAAGGACAGGGAGAATCCATATTAAAACTGGCCCAAGAGACATTAGTTTCCTGAACACTAAACAAAATTCATCTTGCAGCGTCACTAACCACATTTACTAAAAATACAATTCATTCTTAGTGTTGCTGTTGAAACACTAACGAACTGGATTCAGATTTAGAATCAAACACAGGTACTTTTAAATTCCGGGGTAAGGTGAGCATTGCGTTAGTCTGGGATCTCTCCGATGTAGACATGAGGACATAATTAGACAGGATTTATTAGGAGACTGTGATGGAGGTCTGACCCCCAGTGCAGGGGAGAGGAAGAAAAGAGGAGGTGGGTGATTCACCCTGGACTGCCCTGCATTAGAGGGAAGGTTTGGAAGGCAAAGCCCAGCGCTCACAGAAGCCTCCCGTTCCCCAGGCTGATTCAGTTACGCTCAGGCTGTGAGAGCCCTTGGGAAGCATGCCCTTGGTGAAATCAGGGTAACAGATTTCACAGGACGGGAGCCTGGGTCCTCTGTTAGTTAAGTTCCCCAGAGTAGAAAGTTTAATGGCTGCCCCAAGCCTCAAAATAGTCCCCAGACTGAACCTTACAGCACAGAGGATATGTAGAATATACTGGTAAGATCTAGAGGATAGCACAGAGGATGTGTAGAATGTGTCGGTATGATCTGGAGGAATCAGACCACGTGCTTTTATGTCCCAGCTCTGCCCTAACTGAATGAGGCTCAGGTCTTTGACATGTGACCTTGCCACTGCATACTGATGGAACTATTTTTAGAGGATTATAAGAATTAATTAATTAAGGTAAGGCACTTAGAACACTAAAAGTTATCCATAAAAGTTAGTTTTTAGGGCTGGAGAGATGGCTCAGAGGTTAAGAGTGAAAGACCCTAACCCTTCAGGTTTACACCTCCCAAGCCCCAGGAAATGAGAAACTAAAAATCTAGTTCCAAGGGCAAGCGGACTCAGTCATTGTTCAACCACCCCTGCCACAATGTAACAATGTAAAAAGATTTCTGTTAAGAGATGTGCTCAACTGTGACTGGGATAGTTGCAAGTGTCCCAGGAAGGACCACTGTGACCTTTGTGTAAACTCCACTCCCGCCCTGATACCCCCTTGAGGTTCCAGAAAGAAAGCACATTCGGACGTTACTGTACCCACTCTGTGATCAGACCATGATCTTGTGAAACAAAATTGTATGGGAATTGTAACCTTATGGTTTTTGTGGGGTTTTCCTTTAAAAACCCCCATGTGGCTGCAGTAAGATGCGGCTCTTGCTCTTCTTAGGAGCAGAGTTTGCCCATCTGTACAGATGCTTCAATAAAAACCTCGTACTGTTGCATCAACTGGACTGGAGTCTGGGTTCTTGGGGCGCCCACTTGAGAAGATAGTACTCTGGGTCTGGGGGCTATCAAGAGCACTGGCTGTTCTTTCTGAGGTCCTGAGTTAAATTCCCAGCAACCACGTGGTGGCTCACAACCATCAATAATGAGATCTGGTGCCCTCTTCTGGCCTGAAGGTGTACACACAGGCAGAACGTTGTATACATAATAAATAAATAAATTTAAAAAAAAGTTAGTTTTTAATTAGATTTGCTTTCAATGTAATCTGCCAGGAGTTGAACTGAGCCTCATCAGGAAGACATAGCATCTCCCTAGCCCTCAGCACCTTTATGTGTCAGCATGAGTGGACAGGGCTTTATTAGGCTGGACCCTCATCCTGTGAGCCATGACTTTATAAAAAAGAAGGTTTGAACTCAGGGACAGACACCAGGAAGAAGGTGTGAAGGGAACAAGAAAACAGGAATCCATCAGACAGGGAGGGGCACCTGGGGTAGATCGCTCCCTCACAACAAGCAAGCCTGCTTGGGTAAGAATCTTGACAAGAATTCAGCTCTTCCAAGAACAGACTCGTGTGCCCCACCCTTCAGCTATCAGACTGTTGAAGCAATGGTCTTCAAGGAATGGGAATCTCCCCCCAAAGAATCTTGAGAAGAAAAAGCCTGGTGCCAGAGGGAGAATTTGTCTCTCAGAAAGAGGCGTCGCACAGTTCTGAGGACTCGTCAGGACATCTGGCAGGACAGTCAGGACAGGCTAGAGCAGAGACAGTGGTGGTCAGTGCTGAACAGGACCACCGCTTGACCAGGACCGCTCCATTCTGCACACTTCTTGCCCTCTGTTTAAATCTAAACCTCACGTCAGAACCCAGAAGATGAACTTGGAGCTCATTAGACCCTCATTAACCTCAGCATAAAGCCTGTCATAGCCCAGTTCTGGTGACCCTGATGCCTTGAACTTGGACTTCTGGAATGTGAGAGCTGTCACATTCTGTTGTTTATGTGGCTGAGTTGTGACAGATATAGCGGCCCCAGCAAACAGAGGCAGTGTCTTTTTGTTTGTTTGTTTGTTTGTTTTGAGACAAAGCCTTGCTATGTAGCCCAGGCTAGACTCCAACTCTTAATCTTCCCGCCTCTGCCTCCTAAATTTGTGGATTATAAGCACATGTCATCACTCCTGTTCTATGCAGTCTGTTCTTAAATTCTTAAGCCTGGCCTTTTCCTAGAAGGTTTGGTGTGCCAACACTCACACCAAGTGTCTGCATCAGCCCAAAGTGACTCTAGCCTCCTCTAGGATTTCAGATAGTTGGTGTAGCCCATGCCAGGGCCACTGCCTTCTCTGTGGCAACCTGTGTCCTCCTCATGTGGGTCCCCACCCAAGGGATAAAAGCAGCGCCTTGCTGTTATTTTAGACCGTGTACAATTTAAGTAGCAGTGGCAGACTTGGAAACTGTCATGTGCCCATAATTGCTGTGACCTGTGACCAGGCCTCCTAGAAGATGGCATTGCTGTGCATTATCTGAAGCAGGGCTCCTCACCACGGGCAGCTTACAGAGCCCTTGAGGAGGCTTCCCACGAGCTCACCCTGAGAAAAATGTGGCCAAATAAATTAGGTTCTTTCAAGATATCTGGGGACTTTTGAAAACCGAGCAGAGCCTAATTTCTCTATCCAATGTACAATTCAATCATATTTCATGTGAGAAACTGCCATGGCACAAAAGGGATGTGGGACAGGGACAGGGACAGGGACAGGGACAGGGACAGTACCAAAGAGGAAAATGTGCAACACGTATCTGAATGTTGACGGCGCTTGCCTAAGAATTCTGCAATTAAACTTTGACCTGAGTTTTAACTGGTTTCATTTATTTCATTATCTTAGTGGAAATGCTTCCCACTATGAATCATTTAAGTCAGGATCTCACAGCCACTCCAGGAGGCCTTCCTGCAGATGTAGTAACTGAGGTCAGGACAAGGGCCACCTCCTGAGCTGTGTGGCACATCCCTTCCTGAGGCTGAGCCTAATGGGTCTGGGGAGTGTGTAAATGAAGTGTTAGGTGTGTCAGGGATTGCAGGAGTGACGCCCAGCATGCTATACAGCTCACACCTAGACACGTGAATTGACAAGCACCTGCCAGGCCACCCGGGTCAGAGGCTGGCTTTTCCCCATCTTCAAGGACATTGCTTTTCAAAGCGTTTTTGGGTAAAGGAGAATGCATGAGGTTGGAGGGCCTCCTGCAAACCTTGGCTGTTCCCAAGATGAAAAGAATTTCCCACAGGAGCAGCAGCTCTCTGCCCGGTGGGTTTTGTTAGAAGTGGGGGAAGCCTGTGGGAACAGGGCTTTCTCCTCCCACTCTGCTGACTCTCCTGGCAGGGATTCACACTGTAAATTTATTGCTTATTTTATCCTCTGAAGCCGGAGAGCAGATGAAGTAGAAGATCCAAATCCTGCATCCTAACAGATTTAGAGCAGAGGGTGTGGGCTAGGGGAGCGTAAATCACTTCTCAGCACAAGCGGCACATGAGAATCACCTGCAGCACATTAAAAACACCTCCCCAACTGGACCACAAAAGCTTTTCATCTGAAAAGACCAGGCTGGGCTCAGTAAGGGTGTTAAGCAGCTCCCAGCAGGACTCAGATCTAACCTGAACAGAAAACCAGCAATGTAGATCCTTGCCTCCATCGATGAAGGAGCAACCCCCAGAAAGACTATTTCTCTGTTCCTGGGTGCAACTCCAACCCACTGTCCTCACTGATAGAGAAGCTTCCAGAAACACATGATCTAGACCAACTGAGTCTCTAGTGGCCTGAGGATGCCAGGGAAGCATCCTGGAGTTGGCGTTGAGCGCAGGGCCACTGAAGTCGTGAAGACTTCAGAGACTGTCTTCATGGAAGGGACCTGGTGTAAAGAGGAGCATGGAACTTGTTGAGAAAGAAAGGAGGGGTCCAGAAGGCTCTGACAAAATGGAGTAAATCGAGAGAGGGCTTAATAAGCATGGATCTACAGCCAAGGACCTGTGATGAGGCAAGGGAGCACACGGTCCTCCCTGGAAGATTCGGCTGAGAGATGTTATTGCAGTCAGCGATCCAGAGACCTTCTACTAGGTTCTAGCAACGCATCACCCAGCTGTCAATGGAGACGGGTCTCACACCATGTGGAATAATTATAGTAGTCTACTTTCTGACCCTGAAAATAAGTACATATTAGCTACTTTCACATTTCCATGGCCATAGACAGGAACAACGTCAAGGAGGAAAGATTAATTTTGGTTCACAGTTTCAAAGGTGTCAGTGTTAGGATTTATCGGCAGAGTACCTTGGCAGATCCAGGCCAAGGTATGCTGCAAAGACCACACCATGCAAGAGATCTCACTCCAGAGGTTTATTGGGGGATTGGAGGGGTATGCTCTGAGTGGGGGTGGGAGGGGAAAGAGTGGGAAGAGAAGGCACTGGCTTTTTATAAGGCAGTAGAGCGCACATGCACATGGGAACCATGGTGACAGTGGAAATGTGTCATATTTTGGCAGCTGATGATGACGTGGCCTCTGTTGATAAGTTCTTGAAGGTGGGCTTAGGGGTGGAGTCTTCCAATATTCCTCCCTCTCATTTGTTATAAAAGGTGAGGGTAAACATAAACATAAAATATTTAGGCATGACTGGTGAGGCAGGGATGGGGGTGGTGTGCTCTTTAAACTGCTTCCTGTTGTCTGGGGGCATTGGCGTCTTCAGAGTACTGCTGATCCTCACAGTCAGGGCATATTCCGTAGTCATGAGTCTCCGCCTCTGTGGCTGGCAGTTGGTAGTCCTGCAACAATCACTGATTAATTGTTTGATTAGAGACTTTTTTGAATTTGTCATTGGAGAAACATAGGAAAGAAACTGATAAAGCAGGATGTGATTAGTAGAAGCAGGAAAACGAGAAGGCGAGGGGCCAGGAAGGGAAGGATCCACTTCCATATGGGGTTCTCAAGGACCCAGGGGCTGGAGGCATTGAGTAGTTCCTTGCATCTTTGGAGATCTATTTGAAGTTGTTGGATTTTGGTTTTTACTATACCAAACTGGTTGTTATGAAAGCAGAATTTGGGCTGGAGAGATGGCTCAGAGGTTAAGAGCACCGACTGCTCTTCCAGAGGTCCTGAGTTCAATTCCCAGCACCCACATGGTGACTCATAACCATCTGTAATGAGATCTGACACCCTCTTCTGTATACATAATAAATAAATAAATCTTAAAAAAAATATTGAAAGCAGCATTCCTCTTGGAGGAGGAGGCAAAGGCCACCTTTGTCAGCTGTAAGAAGATCTAGTCCCTATCAGTTTTGGAGTACCACTGCTGCCAAGGAGTCAATTTGTCCTTGAAGGGTGAGTGTGGTTTGGGCCACCTGCTGGAGGTCCTGGATGAACTGGGAGAAAGACTGATGAAACAAGGTGAGGGAGGTGGTCAGCCCTGCTGTCCTGGTGGCGACATCTGCAGGTGTTCCTGCCATAGCCAGAAAGGGCAAGATTTGAACCACCCTTTTATTATGCAGGGCAGCTATTGAGTCCAGGACTGGAATCAGTAGGGGCTCTTCTCCATGTATCGCCCCCGACTTGGGGAAGAGAAATACTAGCCTAGCATGCCAACTCCTGACCAACTAGCAGGTTGGTGATGGTAGACTTGAGTACTACAAAGAATCACGGTGTTATGGACGGTAGGACACTGGGGCTGAAGTGGGGTGTCCAGGGTTAAGGTTTTGTTATAGTCTAAGAGATTTGATGCCCTACAAAATGTGTCCCAGATTCCTTACAGTAGTTTGCCATGCCAGAGAGGGTGATATGAAAAAGGTAAGGGCTCAGGGCAGTTGGTGAATGGTGAGGTAAGGTTATTTGTTGGGGAATATTAATTTAAGCTGTGTTACTTTTGTTTATGTTGCATTTGTTTAACTCTATAAAGCTGTGTTACTGTCTAAAACACCTGATGGTCTAATAAAGAGCTGGCCAATAGCAAGGCAGGAGAAAGGATAGGTGGGGCTGGCAGGCAGAGAGAATATATAGAAGGAGAAATCTGGGAGAAAAGAGAAAGAAAAGAAGTAGCCAGAGAAGGAGGAGAACTCCAGGGACCAGCCACCCAGCTACACAACAAGCCATGGAATAAGAGTAAGATTTACAGAAGTAAGAAAATGGGAAAAGCCCAGAGGCAAAAGGTAGATGGGATAAGTTAAGGAAAGCTGGCAAGAAACTAAGCTAAGCTAAGGCCAGGCATTCATAAGTAATAATAAGCCTCCATGGGTGATTTATTTTGGAGCTGGGTGGTGGGTCCCCTAAAAGAGCAAAAACAAACAACAACAGTTACTTGACAAGATAATGGGAGAAGCTGTAAGTGACAGTTGTAAGCTAGTCCCAGGAGGAACACCCAGCCAGAAGTTCCCAACGTGACCAGGTTGGGTGACATTAAGGAACCGATAGGCCAAAGTCAGAGTCTGGAGCAGGAGATGAAATGATAGGTCTGTACTATTTAGGAGAGGGGATGTTAGAGAGGTTATGACCTTGGAGGAGTGTTGAATCACCTCCCCCTACCTCTCCTATCCCCGGGGTTTGAGTAATCAGGATATATTGTCTCTGGAATTTAACTGTGCTCACTGGGTGCCAGGGGTTGAAGAAATGGTAGGGCTTACCAACAACACCTATTTCCCACCTGGGATCCCATAGGTCCAGGATATAGAGATAAAGGCCCCATCTTGTTGATAGAGGAGGGAGCAAGGATATATATATATATATATATATATATATATATATATATATATCACATGGTATTGGCAAGAACACGATGGGCAGCCTCCATATATGTCTAGTCATAGAGGAAGCAGACAAAAAGGTCAATAAATGAAAGAGGAGGAGATGGATATAGGGGTGATGGGAATTTTAATTGGCTCCTGACAGCCTGCTGTGGAACAATTTCCCAACCCTATTTGAAGGGTCTGTTTGTTTCTTGCACCTTGAATCTCCATATGTAAGAGTTGCCCTGGACAGAAGCAGACAAGAGGGCAAAGAGAAAAGGTCTATGTCTGATCCAGTACAGTAGAACTGCAGTGTGGTGATGTTGTGTGTATGCTCTAACAAATAAAGCTTGCCTGAAGGTCAGAGGGCAGAGCTAGGCAGAAGTTAACCATAGAGGCCAGGCAGTGGTGGCACATACCTTTAATCCCAAGAATTTAGGGAAGACCGGAATGAAGAAGGCACGGGCCGAACAATGGTCGTCACCTCATAGTTCGAGGGTCAGGGCTAAAAGCCCAAGGAAACAGACATGGTGCCTAGTACCAGGACTTCTGATTGAAGCCAGAAGGTGAAAACCATGCTAAAAAATGAAGCCTCACCCAAAGGAAATGGTCAGAGGTGGGGGTTGGTGAGGAGGGTCAACTGTAGCCTTGAAGATAGTGGCTGGGGGAGCATTTGCCTCCAAGAATACCAGAGAGGTGCCAGCTGCTCAGACACTCAATGCTCAATGGTCACTTCCTCAGACTAAAGGACGTGTTTATGCTGACCAAAGGGAGAACTTACCAATTGCCAGTGTTGAATGGGGTGCCCAGCGATCAGTCTGGCTCTCCTTGAAGGGTGGTCCCAGCAGCTGGGAGGTCACAAACAGATCAGGGTTATCTGTGCGGGACTGGCTCTGTCATACAGTAAAGCATCTGTGTGTGCCTTGTTTCCTAGGTGCCCTCCCTCCTACTGTGGGGGGTTTTTCCGTGTGCACAGCAGTCACCAGCCCCAGATGTGCAGGGAGCTCTCAGAGGAAGTCTGCGGGTTGCTGCCTTTACCTCTGAATTGCAGCTAAGCCTTGTTATTGGGAAATAAAACCAGATTGGCTTTTAGGTGCTCAAAGAAAGATTCCCGAGGAAGTGCTTAATCCCATGGCCTTTGTCTCCCAGGCCTTTAATTGCTGTGCCTCTCCAGCACTGTGAATGAGGACAGAGGGCGTCTGTGGCATGGAGGGTGACTGTCACTTACCTGGGGCAGGTGAGGAGAAGGAACGGGATTTGTCCACCTGCTTTCATGTTGTGGGTAGGCATCATTTCTTTTATTTTATTGGGGTGAAAGCTTGCTTGAAGTGAGAGATGCTCTTGCCATCTGGTATATCAACACAGAGAACTTGGTCTCCTGGCTCCCTGCTTTGGGGCTGGAGAGAGGCTGGCCTGCCCTCCAGGGCCCTCTCGTTCACCTGGAGGCATCCGGCAAGTATCTTCTCTGCAGTGGGGCCAGCGGGCTAGAAGGAGCATGTGGTGATGAACAGTGGGACTCTCTAGGCTTCTGCATCAGCAGCCTCTTGGTGCCACCCCGCAGATTTCCCAGGGTATTTCTGACAGCTGGTTCAAAGAAAAACTAAGAGCGAAATAAGAAGGTGAGAGCATGATGAAGGTTTGACTTGCAATAGCTACTTCTCTGAAGAAGGCGAATAGGTTTGGCTAAGTTATTGCTCATCTTAGTCATTGGCTGCTCTTGCCCACCACTCACAGTGGCCACAACTTCGGACAGCTCTGAAGATGGCATGGGCGGAGAGGGAGTCTCCGGGGGCAGAGAGCCACTGTTTTCCGGTTGCCACTTTGAGGAAGCAAATGGACTCATGCCACATGTAGCATGCCACTGTGTAGCCAGGTGACCCTGGCATGCAATGGAGCCTGGCTGGAAAGATGTGCAGTTCCATGATGTAGTTCATCTCTCTTCGTTTATCAGGGCAAGCCTGAAGTCCTTAACACACTGAGGGACTAGGAGTGAGACAGGTAGGAAAAGGGGCCATGGCCAGGTAATAAAGATGGTAAGTTTCTGAGATGGCCAGCTTCTTCCTTTCCCTCCTGATGTGACACGAAAGCATGACAGCTTAAAACTAAGGCCTTGTAGGCTTTTAGTCTTTCACCAGCGGGCTTCTGCTGATGGACTGGCTCAACATGTTCAAGACTGGATCGGGACATAGTTGTAGGCCAAGCAACCACTGTATCTTCCTTCAAATGAACCAACCCTAAACTAGAGACTTAAACACCCCCCCTCAAAAAAAAAAAAAAAAAAAACCCAGCCTTCAAGAAGACCCTGGATTTTTCAGCTTTCTGAGCGTCTCTTTCTCTCTGTTTCTCTGTTTCTGTCTCTGTCTCTCTGTCTCTGTCTGTCTCTGTCTGTGTGTGTGTGTGTGTGTATGTCTTCACAGTCAATGAATGCCTTTCTTCACCTGCTGACTGACTACTTCTGTTTGTAGTGTTTGAGATTTCGCAGCTGCTACCTGTCACACTTGAGAAACTTCCTGCCATTTTAATTCTTTAACTGGCAGGGAAAGCAAATCCATTCGAGAGCCCTAGACTGTATGGGCCCCCGTCCTGGTCTTTCTGCTCTGGTCCAAGTTGGTGTTTCTGCCTTCATAGCACTCACCACTCTTCTTCATAGACTTAGCCATTGCTATGGCATCACTGACATTGTCTCTCCCTGCCTGTGGGGACTCAGGAAGCCAAGACCTGCCTGTGATCTTACTTCTATCATCTCTCTTGGTGTGTGGCATCCAGCAGGTACTCCATACCCAACCCACTCACTGCTTATAAGAGATTTGTGTGCATATCTACGCTTTTGAATTTGTTGTTGCTTAAAAATGACTGTAGGTTTGGCGGTGCGCGCGCGCGCACGCACACACACACACACACACACACACACACACACACACACACACACACACACACACTACCATCTGGTACCCAGGCCACACATACAGATAGATGTGTCTGTATCATTCTCTCTCCCCTCTGGGTGAGAATGGGTCATAAACAGAGCCCCCCAGCAATACCCTGGAGGAAGCAGCCAGCTCTCACCCTCCTGCCTCTCCACCCTATTCTGAGCCTTAGAACCAGTCAATAACCCTGCAGGATCACAAATATTGTAGAAAAGGGAATGGCTTTTGAAGAAGTGACAAGACACAGGAAACCACAGCACCATGCCCTGGGAACAGAAAATAATAGAATAAATCCTTAAAGATCTAATGTTATCCTTAGAAACACTTTACCAAAGCCATATCAGCCTCTGACAAGTGTTGGCTCCAATCCCACCTACTAAAGCCATCCACTGGCCTTATAAAGGACACCAGCCATGCCATGCATTTTGTGCCATTAGGCTTAAGGGATCGGTAAACAAATATACTTGGAGGTCAACCACAGACTATATCCCGGCAAAAGGACTCTGGGTGGAATTGGCTCCATCCCAGTCCTCTTGGGAGAGAGGAGGCTGCAGAGAATGTCATTAGTCGCTCAATGCAATTATCAGGGATGACTAGGGGGCATGGTGCAGGAATGGGGCTTGTTGGGACTCAGGCAGCTGTGTCTGTCCAGCTTATGCACTAAGATCCACAATTGATGGGGGAAATCTGACATCATCGGCCCTCCTAACCTCATATGTCCCAATGCAAAATAGGTATGATGGTTGTATTTATCAACCTAACTTTGCCTAACTCACAGAAATTACTCAAAACAGAATAGATATAAATGCTCCTAAGGAACAAACCCCTGTGTATTTCTTAGCACCCAGCCTGGCCTTTTGCCAGGTGATGACAGAAATGAACACTGGGCAGCTCTGCATCTCCTTTTATCAGAACATCTTTCCCAAGTGCGGTTCACTACTCCCTCCCTGGTGCGACCCTCCCTTGCTCATCTACCTGGCACGGCGCAGGAGATCAGGTTGCATATGTTACGGAATTACAGGGAAGGGGCATTTTAGGAGGGTTGGATACCATGAGTCAGGAGGAATGTGAGTTCACAAGATTATTGTCTTTTGTGCTGTTGAACATTCCATCAGTTCAAGAGCAAGAACTCTGTTTAAAGGTATACTCAGGTCTACAGGGACCAAAGCATGGCTCCTCTAAATATGTCTTTTAGGACATTCCTGAAATGATTTGCTTTGTTCGAGGCTCTTTTAAGAAACCACATGTAATTACACTCAACTATTCAGAAGGTTAAGCTTCAAACTAGCCGAATGCCAAGAAATTCTAAGTTCTTGTTGCCATCCGGCTCTAATTCTGCAAGCCAGTCTTAGTTCTTCCCTTCAAGCATGCCGTCAGGAAGGAATGTGCGCCAGTGTGGCTATGGTTCCTGGCTCGTCTCTGTTCAAGCATTTCTTTTCATTGCTCGGGCAAGTCTTTTGACAATCAATTCTCATATTATTTATAAACATTCTCGTCTAGGAAGAAAGACACTTGCATGGTTTAAGAGAGGTACCAAATGCTAATGACAAAGCAGCATGTGGTCTTCTGTGTCTCCAGATGAGCGAGGCCCGCAAGAACATTCTAAAACCTTGTTCTCAAGTTTATTGTTCCTCTAACTCGCTTGAAACATGCACATGCATGCCTCCTGCACGGAGAAACCTTGCCCTTATTAATTATGGAGCAGACTTTGTTGGATTTAATATTCTAATTATTTCAGACTACAGACCCCCCCCTCCCCCAAACATTTTCCTGCAATGCTTAAATTAACATCCGTATGTAAGGAGGAAATTGGAAGAAACAAATTATGCCTTAAGAAGACCAGACTTCACATAATTATGACTTACAATTAGAGAGAAAGAGTAGCTTTTCCTTAGGACCAGTTTTTTGGTTTTGTTTTTTACTTCTGCATGGATATGCCTGTGGAATATATATGTGAGTGTATGTAAACGTGTGTTAATGCACATGTGTGTAAGGTGCATGTGCTAATGTGTACACCCTTTATAGAGGCCGAGGTCGGCACCAGAGGTCTTCTGTGGTCGTTTCCCACCTTATATATTGATTCAAGGTCTCTCACCTCCCCCCACTCCAGCTCACCAATTCTGTTAGTCTAGCTCATTAGCTTGCTTTGGGGACTTCTGGTTCCCACCTTTCTAGGGTTGTGGGTGGGCCTCTACACTCACCCTTATACTTCTTACACAGCAGGTGTTTTACCCACTAAGCAATCTCCCCAGCTTCGGGAATATGTCTTTATGTGGATTCTCTTGACTTTGGATTCTCAGAAAACTACTCCATGGATATCTGTAGTGGGTATACAGAAAATCAAAAAAAGGCCAGTAGGTTAAGAACTTCATACATTCATTCAGCAACTAATTATCAGCGTCTAGCCTGATCCAAGGGCTGTTCTAAGCACAAAGGAAATGAAATGCCTGCCTACACGGACTTCACACTGTTGTGTTGGATTTTAGTGTGAAATGGATGGGAGGTCAGGGGGAGAAGAAAGTAATGTAGATAGAAGCCAAATGAGGCTGGGAATTGTGGTGCATGAGGCTCTGTCTCCAAAACAGAAAATGGGGAGAGAGGGCTCTAAGAGCGAGGTCATGGTTGCTCCTCCAATATCTGAGCAACAATCTAAAAGAATGGAATGATTGACCATGTGATATCTGAAACACATCACAAGCAGTGATGGAAACCCAGGACAAGAGGACTCTCTGCTCCAGCTGTATGAAGGAAGAGGCCAGCGTGACTGGAGCAAGGAAGAGCATCCAGAGTGAAGGACAGAGAGGAAGGAAGGGCACTCTGAGCAGCATGCTGTTTCCAAGACCTTGAGCTTCTCTTTCTTACTCTGAGTAAGGAAGAGCCATTGTAGTATTGTGAGTGGAAATGAAAGAATCTGTTGCTATGGAAACACGGCCTAGGAAGGATGCTGAAGATTCATAGGAGAGTTGTGGGAAGTGGCCAGATCCTGGGCTATTTCAAAGGAAGAACTTTAAAGGGATTTGCTAATGGGCTTAAATATAAATTGTGAAAGAATAGGATGAGTCAAGAATAACTCGAATAATTTTGGGGGGGATTGAGTCATATTTTTTTAAGATAAGAGAATAGAAAGGAAGGGAAAGTTTGAATATTGATAGGTTTAATTTGAGACATTTACATTAGACATCCACATGGAGACATTGAGTAGGCAGCTGTGGAGGGAAGTCTGGAATTCAAGGAAAAGGCCGAGACTTGAGACATATTTTTAGGCTTTATCAGCCTGTGGATGCTGTTTAAGCCTCGAGACCGGCTGAGATTACTCAGGTAGTGAATGTGGGTGGAAAAGAGAAGGCATCCAGGGACTAAAACAAGCAAGCATGCAGCACTCTGGGGTCTGGAAATTCACATCTGGTGTAGCTCTGACAGTTGTGTTATTCAGAAACATCTTCCTCCTGCCTGGTTCCAAACACTCCATTTTGCTGAGTCATGTAACTTGGCTTTGACTGTCTTTCTCCTAATTTTCAACTGGAGCTACTCAGACCACAAACTAGAACTTAATGCAGGAGGTACAGACGACTCGTAAAGCCTTCCATCTCTGTGCTGAGGAATCCTTAGCCAGTGACATTCAGAAACAATTTTCAAAAGCTTCTTTGTCAACAACTAGACTAGCACTGTACAC